GAAGGTCCTGAGCAGAGTAGTGACATGCTCCGACTGCCATTTGAAATATCTCTCTGGCTGCTGGGTTGAGAATAGATGGGGGAGGGTAAGGGAGAGAAGCAGAGAGGCCAGTTAGGGGGCTTGGGCCAGGATCCAATGGGTAGAGGTGGTGAGAATGATCAGATTCTTGATATATTTTAAAGGATGTGCTGAGGGACTGTGTGGGAAGGAAAGAAAGAGAGGATTCAAGGATGACACCAAGATATTGAGGACTAGAAGGTGGAGACCCCATCCATAGAGATGTGGGAGGAGCAAGAGTTCAGCTCTGGTCATGGTAAGTGTCAAATACTCAATTAGAGATGCTAAGATTGCCTAGAGACAGAATACAGAGTGAGAAGAAGAAGGGAGAGGGACTGGGGCGGGGCCTAGAGGGAGAGTACAGAGTGAGAAGAAGAAGGGAGAGGGCCTGGGACTGGGTGTAATGATCAAGAAGTAGGAAGAGGAGACCGGAACAAGAGGCAGAAATCCTGCAGAATGTTGGCACACAGCTGAAGTAAGTTAATATTTTGAGAAAAAGAGATTGAGAGATCTGACCCACAAACAGATAACTGAACATTGTTCATAGTTTAGAACAATGTGGAGCATTGGTAACCATAGCAACAGCTGTTCAGTGAAGTCCTAAGACCAGAAACCAGATGAAAGAGGCCGGTGGGAGATAAGGAAAAGAGCAAGACCACAGGCAGGGCCAAGGCTTTCAAGAAGTCCGGTGTCCAGGGGAATTATGCAATTCCTGCTGTTCCAGTTCACAGTCCAGACACTGATGTGCAGAGCTTGCCTGCCCAGGGCATGCAGAGAGCAAGTGGTGAAACTGGGATTTGAATCAGGGCACAGTGCCCTCGGATCCCTTGCTTTTTCCCACTTCATGACAGATGTCTCAGTTCCTGTGAACTCAGAGGACGCAAGGATTGACAGGTAAAATATCACAGAGGTGAAGGGGAGCTCTCTGGAACCACAGGGAAGTAGAGAGGAGAACGGGAGAACCGGGACTGGCCAGCCAGCCCAGATTCGAGGAAGAGCAGGTGCCTCTTCCTGGAGTTCAGGAGTGTTTGGCTGGCTTTCCCCCGGGGGCCCCGTGAGCACATTTGCCAGCAGCTTCTGACTGCAGTGCCAACACAGCTCTGCAAATACGCCACAGCTCTGATGTGAATTGTCTCATTTGAAGAAGCAACCTAAATGCCTTTTCTCCCTTATCCTCATCCTGCAAATCCCCAAATAGTTCGTAGCAATTTGTATGTTCACTGCTCTGTGGACACATTCGGTGAAAAGAGTGACAGGGTTTGCAAATGCTTGTTTTCTAAGGCCTTCCCTTACGTCTGACTTCTGTTACATTCAACAAAGAATATGTGTGCTGTGCATGGTAATGTGCTCTGGGGAGCACCTACACGCATCATATTACAGTTTCTCCTAACATGGGATACCAGGCAGCCATTGAAGTTCTTGCTTCAGTGGCTGCAGAGAGAATAACGATGTAGGGAAGTGCTCAGGCTACGAGAACCAGCCCACACCATGTGGTGGAAAGGGAGAAAGAGGAGGAAGGAGTGAAAGGAGGGAGGAAGGGAGACAGAGACCTTGGAAATGTGTTGTAAAGAATATACTAAAGTATTGACAGAGGCCAAATTTGGAAGGTTAGAGTACTAACAATTTAATTTTTTTCTTTATAACTCTCTGTATTATCTAGATTTTCTACAGGGTGTATGTATTACTTTCATAATCAAAATGGCAATAAAAACATTTTAAAATGGAAGCAGGAGGCATGATATTGGTCCTCCAGGGGCTTGCAATCTACTTTTTTGTTGTTGTTAATCCTCATCTGAGGATATTTTTTCCATTGATTTTTAGAGAGGGTGGAAGGGAGGGAGGGAAGGAGAGAGAAAGGGGAAAGAGAAAGTGAGAAACATCCATGCCAGAGAGACACGGCCGGGGCTGGGGATCAAACCTGTAACCCAGGTAGGTGCCCTTGAGCGGAAGTCGAATCCACAACCCTTTGGTGCACATTCTGATGCTGTAATTATTGAGCAACACTGGCCAGGGCTACATTGCAAACTCCTTCACTTCCTGTCTTTTTTCCTGCTGGCCGTCTAGAGCAGTGATGG